CAAACCCGCGAACCCCGCTCCCGATCTTTTGCGGATGTTGTGGCACGTTGTGAGAATGGGCCTTGAGTGGGTGCAGGCAGCGGATATGCGGTGGACCGAAATATCCGGATAACAAATGCCATTACTAATGTACAATGACAAAGCTACGGCGTTATAAATACTAAACAGTGTACGGCTTGGCTATTTCTGAGTAAGGAACTAGATTGTGGTGTACTTTTTAAGAACTCTGGATATTTTAGGGAACTTGTAATGCCCTTTGTAGTGATTTTAACAGTGATCTGGGCTGACGTTGGACATGATTCTTATCCGGCTGTTTTGATGCACCAATTCGCAGAATTGCGTGTTGGTCCACTTTGGGATGGGTAGGTATGTTTGTGTGAATTATCGATGTGATGTATGTACTGATTTTCTTGAGCAGCTAGTCTCGTTGGTGTAACGGTGAGAACTGAGCGTTAACACGATTTGATGGCGTGGAACCTTTAGGAAAAACAGCTGACACAATGCTGCACCAGCTGTAAGATTGTCTCGAAAGGGAAAAAGGAAAATTTCAATATCTCCTTGTTAGGAGTCATGGAGAAGAGGTGTACCATGCATGTTTGAAGCAGTGCCACTGCTGTCAAGGCTTCATCATTAGCTCTACTACGGATTAGATTGGAACAATCCATACGAAGGCCAAAAGCTTATTTCAAGAAGTGTAAATTAATTGGAGACATATGACTGCTACTAATCTACAGTGCATTACAAATAAAGCTGTTGTAGGTTGCCCGTCTCATAAGTCAGTATTGTAAACAATCGTTTACCCTTCACATGCGCGAATCCCAACTTGACCGCTATTGATTAACAAAGTCGACGAGAGATCTTGCAACCGGCACCGTGCAAAGCTACTCCCGCCACTGCTCTGGTTTAAACAATCCGTTGATACGAGTACAAACCTATCCTAGCGTGGCCTCCACACTTTTCATTTGCGTTACCAACGCAAGACGAGGTGCATTCAGCCTCTGGGGCCAATTTTCCTGCACGTCTGAGACTATTTCCGCAAAAGCACATTTTACCCGCCTCAAGACCAAAGTATGCGTAGTGCTGACAGATGGTTCTGCATCTTGTCATCGTCATAGTATTGTCGTTGGTAAGCAAGTCGTTAATCAGTCTGTCGTTGGAATCGAAGTAGCAGCCCTGATACTTGAATCGGGTGAGAGGCCAGCAGGTGTTCGCCTCGGTTAACAAGTACCGCTCCCGGGTAGCATGTGCCTGTCGTACCGAAGTGAGTTCGTCTAAGAGTTTTTTCTCACGAGTAGCATGCGCCTGTCGTGCCGCCTAAAGTTCAGCGCCCTGTCCTTCCTGGCACTTGAGGTGCGCCTGTTCTGCCTCATTAAGTTTATCCATCGCCTCTCGCTCGCGCTCCATGTATTGATCCTTTTCCGCCTGACATGTGTCGAGTGAAGCATCGTTGCCCCCGTTGTTCTGACTAGGTGATGTAACAGGCTGGTTGAAGATGATGCCGTTTGTGCAAGTGCACGAGCAGGTGTCGTTGTTTAGTGCCGGGTCCGTACAAGTGACTGAAGGTTTCATTCCTAATGTTATACGTCAGGAACTCGGATTGTTTTGAATTTTCGAATCTGCTTACTATTTTCGCACTGGTACGAGTCCCCGGAAATTCCAGAAAAGTCAGACGTGCTCATGGCGTACGGGGTGTCATAGGCAACAGCCCCCATACACAAGGCGGAAGTAAGATAGATCCAAGAGGCTCTCATGGTAAGCACAGGTGAATGGGTGAATTCTGAGGAAAGTTTGTTGAAGAATGTTAGTTACAAAGTCTTCCATGGCTACAGATTTACATCATTAGTGTCCTAGTTGCTTCTTGCGCATCATTCCCAGCGCTCCACGCGACAAGTAACTCATCAACCGAGATGTACACAATCATAACCATTTACAGATCATACGTGATGCACGAAAAAAAGACACCAAGACTTGATCTGGATGCTTTTTAAAGGCTTTTCTTTTATGATATACGCAAATCTGTACTTTGCCCACCCAATACGAGGGGTGGCATAAGATCTCTGTCCCAATCAAAAATATTTTTTGCCTCTAGCGTAACTATGTTCCGGCTTTCCAGTTTTTGTGACAGTCCTGAGAAGCACAGATTAAATTTATGATTGGTCTAGCACACCTTGATCTGGAAAAAGATCGGTCCGGACAATGCTAACTGGCCGGCAAACAGTTCCGCTCATGGTGTAAAGTTTTGCTTTTTGTCGCTTCATAGACACTGTTTAGAACGATTTTCTATCCGTAGTTTTGTTTCACCGGAAAGTGGTTTTCGAAGTTTCCTTTTAGCGTTTTGGTGTTACACAACAGTCCGGGCCCCACTGTGTCACACAGCCCAAAAGGCACGTTGTGTTGCTATTAGACATTCCTTTCCCATTTTGGTATATAGAAGGATGCGAACCACACTCATTCGAACACTCATCTTTTAGCAATAAAAGATACATACCCACTGGATAGCTTCGTGCGATAATCTTAGCAGAATAGACAAGAATTCATTAACACGTGTTTACTTTGTAGGTCACACCGCTCTATCACAGGCTTGCTTGTTTCGCCTCACCACCCATGGCACATTTCTTGGGGGAAAAGAGGAAATAGAATCTGCTAAAGAAAGAACGAGATTCCAAGTCCAAGTGCTTAAAAAAGCAGGCTTATAGCATGAAAACCATGGACGATGAGCCAGACGAAATGTATTTTGAGTGTCTGGTCATGGTTATCTTGGAGCCTAACCATCTTTTGTTTACCTTCTTCGACGTCCGATGTGTCGGTTACTTTACCGACATCATAGTATTGCCGGGAGTTCTGTCTGATACCAACTGCGACTGAGTACGCGAAGAGAGCTTCTTCTCTAAGTCCAATCATTTTACAGCTCGGGGATGGAGTTGCGTTTTAGACCTTAGACAAGATATGTTTAACACTCCAACCACATCAAAGGAACTATATTATTTATTATGCAATTTCTCTAATTTTAATAGCGTGGGTTGTATAGGAGTAAGCTGTGAGAGATTTTCTGCTCCAGGAAGTGGCTATATTTGTATTGTGAAGGCCCGACTTTACGTGGGAGAACTAGTCCATGTAATCAGACTAGTCTTCTAGAGAGAACAAGCAGTTTACATGTCAGTAGTGTATTTGAGGAAGATATTACATAGTAAAGAGATAATAGCGTAGCATAGATAGAAGGAAATAGTGTGCTCTCCTCCCAAATTAAAAGGAACAGCAAACAATACACGACAGTAGGCATTTGCTGATGCCAATTCGCACGACTGTAATTCACTCGCCACAAGATTGAGTGCTGCCAGCCGAGCCAGGTGGCGAAAATCGAAGAGGGGGGGAGGGGGAAGGGGGGCTATTGGGTGGAATGTAAAAGGGGTTAGAGGGATGTATGTATGTAATTGGTGTACTTAATCTATGTTGTCGGTTATGAGGCACAAACTAGGAAACTCGACAAACTGGGTTTCTTGGGTACGATTATGCTTAGAAAAAGAGAGTTTGCTGAAATTTTCCCAAGCTCATGGAAGGTAAAACCCAGACGAAATGCAGTACGCCTATCTCAGGTGGAAAGCTCCGAGGTCCTTTATCAATTACGGAGTGAAGTCGCGTGGCCACTGCATGACTCGGAAGCTGACAGCTGATAAGCATACGCCACATCAAGGCACGCTACGAGACTAGCGTATTCCGATGTGCCGGTCACATAAGTACAAACCGAAAGCCACAAATGAGATCCTACCCAACGTCATCCTTATGGTCTGCTTTGGATAGAGACAGCCTCTCGGATACTATTCTTATCGAAGATTGGTCGGACGACTTCATCACCAACGTTCTGCTGATAACCAGACTAGGGGCTTGTTCGGTCGCATAACTGTAACATCGGCCCGGTAGGTGTGAACGGCACTAGAGCTGCGGAACGGAGCTTTGGCAGGTGAATCGAACGGAATGAAGAGCTCCGCTCGGACTGAAATCACCACCACTGCACAGCTATGGCGCTGCTAGCGTAGAGCTAGTCTACCATCCACTCATATAGGTATAGTAAAGCCGAGAGAGCAAAACGGAATCGCAAACTCCAGTCCAAGCTCTGGGGATTCCGTTGGGTCCTGCTGCAGTTCCTTCATGCTGGCACACCACTGTAAGTAGCTTCTTCTATCCACATACAGCCAACCTATCGATAAACAAAACCATCATCGCGAAATCTAACAGGCCCCGATAGATGTGTCAATCCCCGCTTGGGCATATACTTAGATACCGCCCTCGGTCACCTGTCGGCCGGATAGACTTCTCTTTCCAATCGATCATTGGACAATGCCCAGTTTACGGGAGCCACAATGCATGGGGTTGCGGTAGAGTTGAAACGTGATAGGCCGTTGACATGTATCTAATCTAGGGACTGCCTCCTTGTCTATGCTACTGGCCTGCGTCTCGTTGCAGACATGATGGCTCGACTCGTGTACAGGCACAAACCATGTCGCCGAAAGCTTCCATGCACCCTCTCGAAGGTGACATGCATACGGGAACCGTTGTTGGCTGACTTTCGAACAAAGCCGTCGCCCAGCAGAGATGATGCATGTGTTCGAATTTCTATAGGAGAGACATCAAACACACTTCCCTTCAATCCGGTCCCCGCACACTTTTTCTGATAAGTTATCGAATGCCATTGGTCTTTGATGCCGAAGCTTCCGAAACTCCACCGGAAATACGAGGAACACGCGCCACACCATAAGCAATGTGGCCAAGGAACTCTAATATTCTAAGCTTCATCAAGACCTGCACTATCGCTACCAAAATTTCGACTATGCTGGAGTTGGAAGGCACCAAAGCTTAGCCAACAACTCTATATCCATCCATTGCGCGGCGTGTCCCGAAGACCAGTTAGACCCTTCACCCCGCTCCTCCCCAAACTGCCGTAGTGTTCGTGGCGCGTCCGATATCATTCAAACTAGGGTGCCTGATTGGTGCCATTGTGCCGTGCCCGTCGCTCTATCTAGAAGCTGCTCCATTGATAGCTGGCCGAGGCTATATCCATTTGTGAACCTTGACCCGTCGAGCATGTAAGTATCGTGCCATTGAAGATCAGTTATAAAGGACCATGGTCCTGGGTAGTTCTGCAAGGATCATCTTCTCCATTCTCTATTCCTGCCCAAGATCGAAAAGATGTCGCCCAAAGGCTTTGGTAAGAGGCTGGGCTTCAAGAGATCAAACACCGAGAAGGACCCCGTCACTGTTAGCGAACAAACGAATGATTCCCATGGAGAGACATCTAGCAACGATGCTTCGGAAGTTCGCGACATCAGCGAAGCAGAGGCAAACCAACGCCTAAAAGCTTTCCGTCAAGAACACAAATGGGACCCTAACCTGCCAGACGAGGCGGTCGACATGGTCGATGCCGCCACTGAGGCCCACGACAAAACCGGCGAGTCGAAGCTCGTTGGAGAGGTGATCGAGAACTCACCATATCCGGAAGTGAGTTGCAAGAATGTCTGAATACTTCCACATGGAACTAATCAAGACAACAGGTCCGTGCTGTCGTACGGAACTACGATGAAGACGTTCCTGCCAGCACTATTCGCTCATGGGTCATTGGTCTCCTTATGACCACCGTCTGCTCATCAGTCAACGCACTATTCTTGCTGCGTTATCCCCTCATCAGCATCGGCCCTTACGTCGTACTGCTGATCGCCTATCCGATCGGTATCTTCTTCGCAAGAGTCCTTCCCAACAAAGAGTTCAGCATCTTCGGACTCAAAGGAAATCTCAACCCAGGACCTTTCAATGTCAAGGAGCACGTCATAATCGTTGCAATGGCCAATGCTGCCTTCGGTGGTGGCGCTGGATACTTTGTCGACACCGTCGTCTCACTCCGCAAGTTCTACAAATTCGACACCAGCCAGTTCGGATGGGGCTTCAACACGCTTTTTGCTCTGTCCACCCAATGTCTTGGGTTTGGTCTAGCAGGTTCTGTCCGAAAGTTTCTTGTAGAACCTGCGTCCATGATTTGGCCTGGCGCACTCGTCAACGTCGGTTTCTTGTATGCTCTCCATGACCATGGGCCGACTGACCCTACGACCACCAACGGCTGGTCTATCTCGCGGTACCGAATGTTTATGTACGTCATGATCGGCATGTTCGTCTGGTCTTGGCTCCCAGACTTGATCATTCCTGCATTCAGCTACTTTGCTTGGGTCACTTGGGCCAAGCCCAATAATGTTGTTGTCAACCAACTCTTTGGACAAAGCACTGGTCTTGCACTCGGCTTCCCGTTTACCGGGTTTACTCTCGATTGGGCACAAATCAACTCCTTCTTCAACAGCCCGCTACTTAGTCCATGGTATGCACACGTAAACACTTTAATCGGTGTTGTCTTCTTTGTCTGGATCATTATTCCAGCATTGAGCTTTACCAACACTTGGTATGGCGATTACGTGTCAATCTCGCAAAACAGTATTCTTGACAACACTGGCAAAATCTACAACACCTCCAGGATTCTCACTCCTGAACACACTGTTGACCCTGCCAAATATGAGGCGTACTCGCCTCTCTTCTTGTCTCCTACTAACGCACTCAACTACGGACTGAACTTTGCTAGTATCGCTGCACTAGTCAGTCACACCTACCTCTTCCACGGTGCCGAAATCTGGCGCCGCTGGAGGTCCACATCTGGTGAACTGGACGATGTTCATATGAAGATTATGAGAAAGTACAAGACAGTACCCACATGGTGGTA